ACCTGTGGTATGATTTACAGTAAATTTGGGTTGTTTTGGGATGTTTTATTTGTGAAGAAAGGCAGAAAATGTGTAATTCCCAGAAAAGGACAGGTCCCTGAAAAATGTAGTTGCCAGGAAAGGGCAGATCCCTGAAAAATAGAAATACCTGTAAAAAGCAGATCCCTGAAAAGTGTAGTTTCCTAAAAAGTGCAATTCCCTGAAAAGTGTAGTCCCTGAAAAAGTGCAATTCCCTAAAAGTGTATTTCACTGAAAAAGGGCACATCCCTAAAAAGCAGATATCCCTGAAAAAGGCAGATCCCTAAAAATGTAGTTCCCTGAAATAGCCTGTACGAAAAAGTCTGGGCAGAATGCAGACAGAATCTGTACAGACTTTATTTAGAAAACTCTGTACAGAGTCTGTACAGAAAAAAATCTGGTCAAATGATACAAAGTTGAACCAGAATTCTATTAATAGATTTTAGCAATAAGGATAAAGAACGAAATCTGTACAGATTTTTTCTGAAATATTTAAATTAAGCCGATTATTTTCTGGGCAGAAAAAAATCTGGGCAGAAAAAAAAAATCTGGGCAGAAAAAAAATCTGGGCAGAAAAAAATCTGGGCTTCTTCATATTCTGTACAGAATTAATCCTCTCCATAGGAAATATCTGAAAGGGAATTCTGCACAGAAAAAAATCTGTACAGAAAATATTCTGTACAGATTTTCGTTTTTTTGGCTAAAAACAAAATCGATTTTCCTTTTGAACATTTCTCATTTATTAATTTTAATTAACAATTTTTATTCATTTCTTTCCTGAGAGGTCAATGAGTAATAGCCTTGTTGAGGGCACTGTCATCAGGAATTGGCTTGTCTCTGTCTTTGCACCACACCCACATCCTGACATAATCTAGAGTAAAAAAAAAGGAATTTAAATTGAATTATGTTCATTCTATTATTAAATGATATGCAAAATTTGTAAAATATTTCAATGTGTATATAAAACAGTTAAAATTGTATCCCTATATACCTTAAGTTTTTTTGCACCAAGTAACATCAAAGTCACTGACTAATAAAACTGTTTACATATATCATCCCTAGTCATGTAAATTGCAACATAACTTAAAATAGGAGAGATTTACAAGTGGTCAATATTCTAAAAATAGAATTGCTGATAAGCACTGACCATAGCAACCTTTGCTGGTCGTACATTCTACACAATTTCCGGGAGTTTTGAATTGATTAATTTAAACTAAATGAATTGAATTATAGAATAGCAAAACAAAACTATTTATTGCATAATAGAGCAAGAAATTAAAAAAATAGATCTTGACCTATCAACTGATCAAAAAGCAATTTATGAACTTATAACTTCACTGGCCCAGCTTTGACTTCACTGCATTAATTTTATACTCATTAGACCATAGTGGTCTGTCTCAAATCAGAGTAAATTTAACTAATATAGATAATTCATAGACTATTAAAAGATGTATAAATAATTTCTTTTATTTACAGTGGAAGGTATAACCAAATAATTCAAAGTAAAATTCAAAGTAAACATTGCAAAATCTTACCTCTGGTTTTGATAATAATTCCATCATAATTCCTCTTTGGCCCCTAAATCTGAGAATTTCAAGTCTCTACATGATTGCTCTTCACAACAACTAACTTGTTAACTTATCATTAGAAAAATAAACTAAACAAAACATATTAATCTTTGCCAATGTTTTAATCTTTGCAAATGTGAAGACACTTTGTGTAATAAAACCTCATGTGGCAGCCTGAGAGATTTGAATTGACCAACAGGGGTTACATGGGGGTTACACCTGATATTACAGAAAATCTATCTACTACTCTGAGATTAACTCAGAGTGAAATTCTGGCTAGAAAAGTAAATTCTGTCTCAAGATTTATCTAAGTGTTAAAATTCTGTGTCTATGTAAATTCTGCCTCATTTTTTTTTCTAAGTATTGAAATTCTGTCTTGTGAAAATAACTAAGAGCAAAATATCTGTGTGAAAATTTTTCTGTACAGAAAAATTTTTGATTCTGTTTTATTCTGCACAGAAAATCACCTATTTCCTAGGCCGATTCTGTGTCCAATTCTGTGTCGGTGTCAACTCTGTACAGAAAAATGAAAATCTGCCTCTATAACAACCAGAGTTGGTACAGAGTCTGTACAGAATTGGCTCAGAATTTTCGTACAGGAGGGCAAATCCCTGAAAAATGTAGTTCCCAGAAAAGGGCAGATCCCTAAAAAGTGCAATTCCCTGAAAAGTGTAGTTCACTGAAAAAGGGCACATCTCTGAAAACCAGATATGCCTGAATAAGGCAGATCCCTGAAAAGTTAGTTCCCGGAAAAAGGGCAGATCCCTAAAAATTTAGTTCCCTGAAAAAGGGCAGATCCCTGAAAAGTTAATTCCCAGAAAAAAGGCAGATCCCTGAAAAGTGTTAAGCTTTTTACATTTATTTTTTAATAATTATTCAGTATATTTTTGGATTACTAATTTTGTAAGACACAAAAAGAAAAGAGTGTACTGATCATCTTATTGGCCTGACATGGAATCTGACCTGGACTGCATCCAGGGCATATACACACAAAAAAAACAGTTTGTCTAATTGCATAATGCAGCTTTACGCCAATTCGTGTACAACACACACAAAATTATCGTAGGAGAATGCTTGTTTGTAACTAATGTTTAGTTATCTATCTGGAATAGTGGCTCACTAAGATATCATAATATAAATACAAGACAAGTTGGTGTTGGAATTTATTCTTCATTCTTTCTTGTGCTGTCATATGGCTTGTAGATTGATATGGCATTTTTGTTATGTTTGTAAGCTATGTTCTTAGCTTGATGGATTTGTACTTGCTGACCTTCTGTTGCTATATAATTGATCTTGAAGTTGATATTTGCGTTCTTGGTAGAGCAAAAATACATTATTCTCTCATAACAAAAACAAAAAGGTCACTAAAATTTTGATAACTGTTAAAAAGTTCTTTTGTTTTAGCTGTCAATCACTCTAGCCTTATCATCCAACACCCATTCTCAATTTAGGTAGGAAAACCTCTGAGTTTCCCAGGAGTTCTGGACAACATCTACTGGAGGTTTCTGACATTTTTGAAGGGTTATAAACTTATTTTATGGGCAGAAAGTCTTGTTTTGTGACAGTTTCTCATTTACTTATTTTAGTCTACCATAAACGCTGTTGTGGTCATTTTGTTTTAAACTCTGATTCTATTTAATTTGTATGATTTTAATTATTACATTCTATTCATAATGTTTTTTATGCAAGTAAATTACTATTTCTATGCATGTTGCATGACTTTCAATCTGCAGTAAAAACTCCCTTATCACAATCTCTCTAAATCATGATTAATTGAACATTTTCATGCTCCTGATTTTATGTTTATTTTTTAATCTGTATAGAAATCCAATCTGGATCCTCCAAATGCACTCCCTAATCTTGATCCTTGAAAAGCTCTCAATTATAAAATCTGTGTCTCCAAATGCACTCCCTAATCTGGGTCCTTCAAATGCACTCCCTAATCTGGATCCTCCAAATGCACTCCCTAATCCTGATCCAAATGAAAAGCTCTCCCTAATTTGGAATCTCCAAAATTTAATGCACTCCCTAATCTGGATTATCCAAAATGCACTCCCTAATCCATCATTTTGACTCCATAATCCAGATGGTCAAAAAGAAACAAAATATGTACATTGAACTGTCCTGTAAAATTGTTGCTCAAAAAGTTGATTGCTTTATTTAACTATCCCGCGCTGCGTAACATCCGACTAAAGAAACTGCAAGTGACAATGATGTCCAAACAATGGTAAGTAATTTGAATTTAAATTGGTGATGTTTTATTTTTGTTTATGATCAGTGATAAGTAATGAATAAATTACCATAAGCCATGACAAACCTTTTAAAGCCCCACTCTTCTTGGGTGGTGGGGGTGGGGTTGGAGGGGTGCATTTAGATTTGCCCTTTTCCTTGAATCTGTTTCAAAATTTTGTGTCTTGTGTAGCTCTAAGAATGCTTGAGCTAGTCAATAAACTTTACAGGAATGTTGATCAGCATGTGAAGTTGTGCACCTGGGATTTTGCGTGTTGATTAATGCAGTTTAATTAAAGTCATTGGCCTTGACTTTGCAAAAATTGGCAATTTTCAATTTGTGTGGTGCATAGTTCAAAAAAGTATTTGACCCAGAGTAATGAAACTTTACAGGACAGCATGTGTAGTTCTGCATCTTGGGTTTTGCTTGTTTTAAATTTCTTTTAAGCATACTAAAACAATCCTGAGGATATAAAATTGAGATTTAGAATTCTTGCAGCCCAATATTGGGCAAAGTTACGGATGTCATTTTTATGCCCCAACCACTAAGGGGTATGGGAAGTCATGTAGAATTCCTGTTATCTCTTATACTGTCCTACTGTTTGTCAGTAGACTTACAATCTTTTCCCAAACTTCATAAAAAGGTTATGTCTGGACAAAACATGACCTAAAATAGCTGAGATTTTATAAATAATTAAAACTCCCCTATCTGGAATCAACTGGTCCAAAAGGTGTCCTGCAGTGATAAGAGAATTTTTTTATTGTATTCTTCAAAGCTTACAGTATAAAAATGCATGTAATATTTTTTAAATACTTCATTTTCATCATTTACAATAATTTTATATCATAAAGGAATATAATTCAAAATTTTGTAAAAGTTTGTTTGCTTTTTGCATTAAAATCATATAAAAAAGATTAAGGGTGCCTGTGGAATTGTCTTTAATTTCAGCTTTATTTATTTTCCGCATTTCGAGGGTTGACCGCAAAACTGCTGTAACTTATATTAACATAAAGAAGGACTTACAACAGTTTTGTGATCAACCCTCGATTTCATTTTATCAAATTTATTAAACTTTTTAAATTAAATTTTAATTTTCATTAAAATTTTGTTGTTGCTATTTTTAGCTGTACATTATTTTGTTGTTGCTATTTTTAGGTACATAATTTTGTTGTTGCTATTTTTAGGTACATTATCACCCCCAAGAAATGTGAGAGCCCGTCTACAAAGTCCTCAGGCTATACTCATAGAGTGGAATGAGCCCGAGACAACTTATGAAATTCAGGTATTTAATAGTTACCTTAAAGGGACTCCACTGAGTTTTTTTTTTTTTTAAATGATGGGACTGGAAATAATTTTTCAAAAATAGTTTGGCACTCAATCCATTATATAGTACCTTATTTGTCGCTAACAATTAATATGGCATTTTCTATCCATTGAAGCGTATTCACGTTTGAAGATTTGCGTGTATTTTAGGGAGAAAATTTATATGTATATAATAAAGTCATCCATGAGTATTGAGTGAATGAGATAAATTTTGCAGTCTTTTAGCACAACTTTTACAAGGAACAAAAGTCAAACTATATATATAGAATGTTGTTGCTGAATCGCAGGCTGATCAGGATCCATGCTGTTTGTTATCAGTTTCTCTACTTGTAATAGAGTTGGTAAGCGAACAGCATGGATCCTGATCAGACTGCGCAGATGCGCAGGCTGGTCTGGATTCATACTGGTTGCAAACACACTATGTTGGTTTTGTCGTGACACGGCTCATATTTTTCTTTGCCACTCTTTCAGGGATATAAAGTGTTGTACACAACAGATAGATATCTACCAATCCATTTATGGATGGTCCAAGAGGTATCTGGGGACAACAAGATGACAACTATTAGCGGCTTGAAACCTGACAGAAACTATGTAATAAGTGTACTGGTCTTGTCAAGCGTAGGCCCGGGTCCAATGTCCAATCCAGTTGAAGTGATGACCAGACAAGTAGGTATGTATTGTTGTGCCCCGTGTTTTTATTGGCTGGTCTCAGAAGGATCCTTGTTGCTATGGAGACAGATTTTGGCACCTAATGGAAGGCCATAGAAATGCATGGTAACGTTCCATAATATTAAAGCTGCCTTCAGCTTTTATTTTGTGTTGGAAAAAACAATTCTGTGTTGTTTCAAACTAAGTAAATCAGAATTTTTATCTTGGAAGAGTGCATTATATTTCTGTAAAGCCTAAAAATCTTCAAAACAGCCTCCTGAGAACTATTTATAACTTGTTAGTGATATTCATTTCTAAAAATAGATCTGGAAACGAATTGTCCGCTTAACCAAATTGTCGGCTTTGTCTTTTGGGGGGGTTTTTATATTTTTTTTCATATTTTTTCAGAAAAAAAATTTTATTTTCCATTATTTTTACAATTATTTTGGAAACAGTTGGGCTAAAAAAACAAATTTTAAACCCTAAGAAAAAGCTGAAGGGAAACTTTAAGGACAGTTAAAAACCCGTGCCCCAGGAAAGTTTTTAAAATTTGAAAAAAAAACTTTTTTTCCTGCAAAAAAATGACATTAAAAGATATATCTTTTGAAAATACATGTTTAAGAAATTTCAAACAAAGCACAACAAAATTATGAAAAATCTGTGTAAATCAGAGTTCTTGCGATAAAGCCTACAAAAAAAAAATGAAAATAAAAAAAAGTTTTTAGTACTTATAGAAAACTGTTCTTATGTTAATAGTTTGTGATTTTTGCTTGTTTTGTATGTGGATAGCTATGAAGTGGGATCATAGTATAGTGTCAAATAAACTTATTTTTTTTTCTTTCTTCGCTGTTATTGTTGTCTGTTTAGACCATACCTAAATTGTATCCATTTAAAATGTATATCTATCTTTATTTGGATAAATAACGAATTGATTTCAGATTCTGTTCTATTGCAAGATGCAAGAACACAAGACCTAAAAATACTTTACCCCCAAAACCCTGCCCCGACCCCATCTGACCTCATCATCCATACATCCCATTCAACCATCACTCAGAAAAAAAAAGTCTACAGGAAAAACTCCTAAATGTTGATTATAAGTAATAAAAATAATTTGGTCATTTCAATCATTCTAATCAGTATTTCGTTGTTCTTGTGGGAATGTTTTTGAATAGCAAACATTTATTCTGCTGCATGTTGATGACCTTGATATCCAAAATTTTGAACATAATTGAGATTTATTTACATATATTTTGGTGTTGGAGTTAATATTGGTTAGGGGTGTTCTTATTGATTTTAGCTCTTATTGTTTTCATTTCGATTTATTTGAAGAATAGTGATAGCTATAGTACTCACCCAGGCGTCTGTATGGGTGTTATAAAGTAATTTATAATGTTCATGAAAATTAGAATACTCTGGTTTAATTTTAAAAGAAGTTTGCTGTTCTCATATATTATGATATAAAATTTCATAATTTCATATTTATCTGATTTTCTTGTTATATTCAAGAACAGATGATGTCTTTACCTTCACATTTTCTTTTCTTGCTCATCCTTTTTGACTGGATTTCTTTCTTCACATTTTCTTTTCTAGCTCATTCTTTTTGACTGGACTTATTTCTTCACATTTTCTTTTCTTGCTCATCCTTTTTGACTGGATTTCTTTCTTCACATTTTCTTTTCTAGCTCATTCTTTTTGACTGGATTTCTTTCTTCACATTTTCTTTTCTAGCTCATTCTTTTTGACTCACTGGACTTATTTCTTCACATTTTCTTTTCTTGCCCATCCTTTTTGACTGGATTTCTTTCTTCACATTTTCTTTTCTAGCTCATTCTTTTTGACTGGATTTATTTCTTCACATTTTCTTTTCTAGCCCATTCTTTTTGACTGGATTTATTTCTTCACATTTTCTTTTCTAGCTCATCCTTTTTGACTGGATTTATTTCTTCACATTTTCTTTTCTAGCTCATCTTTTTGACTGGATTTATTTTCTTCACATTTTCTTTTCTAGCCCATTCTTTTTGACTGGAATTATTTCTCACACATTTTCTTTTCTAGCTCATCCTTTTTGACTGGATTTATTTCTTCACATTTTCTTTTCTAGCTCATTCTTTTTGACTGGATTTATTTCTTCACATTTTCTTTTCTAGCTCATTGTTTTTGACTGGATTTATTTCTTCACATTTTCTTTTCTAGTTCATTGTTTTTGACTGGATTTATTTCTTCACATTTTCTTTTCTAGCCCATTCTTTTTGACTGGATTTATATTCTTCACATTTTCTTTTCTAGGCTCATTCTTTTTGACTGGATTTATTTCTTCACATTTTCTTTTCTAGCCCATTCTTTTTGACTGGATTTATTTCTTCACATTTTCTTTTCTAGCTCATCCTTTTTGACTGGATTTATTTCTTCACATTTTCTTTTCTAGCTCATTCTTTTTGACTGGATTTATTTCTTCACATTTTCTTTTCTAGCTCATTCTTTTTGACTGGATTTATTTCTTCACATTTTCTTTTCTAGCTCATTCTTTTTGACTGGATTTATTTCTTCACATTTTCTTTTCTAGCTCATTCTTTTTGACTGGATGTATTTCTTAACATTTTCTTTTCTAGCTCATCCTTATTGACTGGATTTATTTCTTCACATTTTCTTTTCTAGTTCATTGTTTTTGACTGGATTTATTTCGTACAACAGTCTACAATTATCTAGGGACATTTCATACAGATGGTATAACAGTTCTCCCTGCAAGAAAAAAAAAAAAAGAGCATACATTCTAAAATTACAGAACATTGTGCAGAAAATTGCTCATTTCCTTCATTGCCAGAATCATGCACTGTAAATGAAGATGATGGCAAAATAAACAGTCCTCTTTTTACCATAGCATCTGTTTTAATCCTGATTAAATAAAAGAGTATGTATTAACGTGGGCAATTCTCTCATGTTTCTTTTTTTTTGTTTTACAATATAAATACAAGAGGGATTGTTGTATAAACTGATTGACTCTGGTGTTGTATAAATTGTTATCATTTTCCCTGGATAGGATGTTTGACTCATTTAACTGCCACCTCTTTCTTCATTGTATAAACATTTTTAGTTGTAGATTCAGGTGTGTTTTTTTATATATATACATGTATATATATACACTTATGGAGGGTTTAAGCTCGACTTTTCTATGAAAAGGGGAGCTATCCTACTCGCCCCGGCGTCGGCGTCGGCGTTAGCGGCGTCACACCTTGGTTAAGTTTTTTCGTACCACCCCACTTTATTTCAGAAGTATTACAAGTATGGCTTTGAAACTTACCATACTTGTTCACCATCATAACCTCCATCTACAGACAAGAGTACTAACTCTGTCAAGGTTTTTGACAGAATTATGGCCCTTTTTTGACTTAGAAAGTGTATTGAGCTTGGTTAAGTTTTTTGTACCACCTCACTTTATTTCAAAACCATTGGAGGTATTGCTTTGAAACTGACCATACTTGTTTACCATCACGACCTTCATCAACAACAAGAGGACATAACTCTGTCAAGGTTTTTTGACAGAATTATGCCCCTTTTTGACTTAGAAAATACATTGAATATGGGTAAAATCCACTTATTGCCTTAACCCTTTGAGATATTGCTTTGAAACTTTTAATGCTATTTCACATCATTACCCCCATCTGTACGCAAGAGAAGGTAACTCTGTCAAGGATTTGTTTTAAAAATTAAGGCCTTTTATCGACTTAGAATCCTTTTATGTTTGCCTTTTCGCAAAAACTTATAAAAAATCTGTCTTACGGACACCTTTCAACAGAACAAGAGGACATAACTCTGTCAAGGTTTTTGACAGGATTATGCCCCTTTTTGACTTAGAAAATACATTGAATATGGGTAAAATCCACTTATTGCCTTAACCCTTTGAGATATTGCTTTGAAACTTTTAATGCTATTTCACATCATTACCCCCATCTGTACGCAAGAGAAGGTAACCTGTCAAGGATTTGTTTTAAAAATTAAGGCCTTTTTATCGACTTAGAATCATTGGTTTCTTTATTGCTTTTCGTGCAAAAAACTTTTTTTATTGGCAAGCAAATAAAAAAGTCGAGCGGCTGTCTTACGGACACCTTCATCAACAGACAAGAGGAACATAACTCTGTCAAGGTTTTTGACAGGATTATGCCCCTTTTTGACTTAGAAAATACATTGAATATGGGTAAAATCCACTTATTGCCTTAACCCTTTGAGATATTGCTTTGAAACTTTTAATGCTATTTCACATCATTACCCCCATCTGTACGCAAGAGAAGGTAACTCTGTCAAGGATTTGTTTTAAAAATTAAGGCCTTTTATCGACTTAGAATCTTGGTTCTTGTATTGCCTTTTACTGCAAAAACTTTTTTTATTGGCAAGCAATAAAAAAGTCGAGCGCGCTGTCTTACGGACAGCTCTTGTTTATATATATACACAGTAACACTTATCAAGGGTTTACCACACAACTGCAGTAACTTATATGAAATAAAGAAGGACTTACAACAGTCTTGAGGTCGGCCCTCAAATTGCAGTGTGTATTATTTCTAACGCTAAAACTCCCTGAATAGAATTGTAACTACATAATTATATTGGTATTAATTATTACATGTAGCAAAATCCGTGTCTCCCAACAGGTGTTATTCTACATAGTTATGTTGTATTGTATTATTACATCATAGTTAATAAGTATTTAACCTCTCACCATTCTTAATATATGTTTTACCCTGATAGTGGTTGAAAGAGATGACTTAATTAATTGCTTCGAATTACTAGTATATTAAAGCATGTCTTAGCTCCGCCAGGTGAAGTGGTTGGGAAGTTTGTTACACCCAGGTTAGCCAAAATCATCTTTCCTGTTTCAGTGCCATATGACCTATACTGTGTTATTGGCTTAATGCGCCATAATGGCAAACAAATAAAAGCTAAGTAACTTAAATCAACTTGTCCATGTTTCAATCTTGACAAAATCATTCATCATTTTTATGGAAAAAATTGTACTGATTGGAATATCCT